TTCATTTTTACTGTATAATTAGTTTTTTTTTTAAATTGGAATTTCTTGCAAAGTGCAAAATTATATTGCAAAATTATTTTTTGCATTATAATATATATTATATTATAATATTATTAATTATATATATATATATATTAATAATAATAATAATAAAATATTTTTAATAATATTTAATAAATTACTATATAATATTTAATCAGACAGGAACAGCCTTTAAAATGCCCTAAAACACACATTTTCCCGGTGAAAATGTGCACATCACATCAGGTCTCTGTGATGCACGTGTGCTATGGGCAAGTAAATGAAGATGTAATTGTCATTTTTGGGTGAACTACTCCTTGAATAACTCCAGACGATGACGCGGTGTCCTCTAGCGAACGGGACGCGCTAAACGCCTCAATCACAAGCGCAGAGCAGGAGAAGATTATAATGACAGGTGACACTGAGAAACGAACCACTCATCCATTCCTCTCGCTCTTTCAATAACTTCATCTCTCTGTTCATGTCAAAGAAAAAAACAAGTCTCTCTGGACTTGTCGAGCTCTGAATCAAACCTGACAGGCCAAGCGTTTTGATTAAGTCTGTCAAAAAAGAGCCAAGAATGACTTAAACGTTCAGCTGAACCATCAGTTAAAGTGTTGAGGAATAACTAACTAAAATGAGCTACTCTACAAAACTACACTTTTAACTATATTTATTTTAATTTACAATTTGTAAAGAAATGGTCACTTTCAAATCTGATAATAGAAACACTGGCATGGAGACAAAAACGGCATCATTAATGTAATCAATGATTTCTGATCATTTCCGTGCGAAATGGAAGCAAAATTAAAATTATTAACTTGTATTTAATTAATTAGTAAAATTATTAAAATTATTAAAATGTTATTAAGATAACTTTTAACATTTAAAGAGTTGTGCAATACAAAAATATATATATTTAAAAATTATATTTCATTCTTTTTAAATATGTTAAGGCATAAAGCTTTTAAATCATTCAGAAAATAGATAATAAAAATTTAATTAATATTTGAATTCCTAAACACTTTATAGGGGGGGAAATTAAAAATATTATATTAGACAAAAGTCAGTTTTAACATCTTATAGTTGTGCAACAAAAAACATTTTATAAAAAAATAAAGAAAAAAAAAACTCACAGACACACACTCACACAGAGACACACACTCACACAGAGACACACACTCACACAGAGACACACACTCACACAGAGACACACACTCACACAGAGACACACACTCACACAGAGACACACACTCACACAGAGACACACACTCACACAGAGACACACACTCACACACATTCTCCATGTTTGTTTATGTCAAACGCAGTGTCGCTGGCGGCGAAAGCGTTCACACGGGTGCAATATAATCACAGCGCGTGACTGGAATGCGGCGCCTTCGCCAATCAACCAAACGGCAATTACAGCTAATTTCAGGGTTACATTAGATTTCACTCATATCCTAAAATCATAACGTTAACATTATTATAAGAACATGAAGCAATTAAGAATACAACATGCAAATTTGTGTACGCAAACCAAACTCCCGCGAGGACGCGATGACGCGGTGAACGTTCAAACGCAAAATTACGGGAAAACAAACCGTGTGACCCAAAAATATTCACTAGCAACCAATGGGATTCGAGTTTGGAGACGCTGTAACCACGGAGACTAGAACTGGGTTGTTGCTATGACGACACATATAAAAGATCCAATCATGTCTGTAAATACAATAAATGGAACACAATAAACATGGAAAAACTAAACGATGTCCAACTGCAAAGTGATTTCAGGAAATCCAGCAAAGCCTGACAATAATCCACTGCGTGCGGCGCATTCACAGGTTTTCTGATGGATTCAGCTCTGCACAGGGCCAATAACATGTGAGATCGGCTGTTTATAAATCGAATCATTATAATTCACACAAAGCGACCCATCAGCACAAAGGCAGATATGAATAATTAATGAAGGAGAGAATGAGAGAATGTGGGTGACGGATATAATGGCTCACACAGGTCTCTCGCCCGCTCTCTCTCTCTCTCTCTCTCTCCAGCTCCAGACCATCATTAACTTATGAAACGGGACACATTAACATAATGTTACATAATACACACATTTCTATGGATGGGTGTGCAGAAAAATTATGAATAATTATTCAAAATCTTTTTTTTGCATGACTGTAATGAGAATCTGGAGTTTAAATGTGCTTAATCATGAAAAATTATATCAGAAATGCAAAGAATAATCCCACCTATTTGTACTACATATATTATTAACGGCAGCTAGGAAGATAATCACTGTGAATTGGTTGAAGATGCACGAACCTACTCTGACAGAATGAATACAGAGACTGAATCAGATACATATATATTTGAGAATATGACTGCAGATTTAGAGTTAAAATCAGACATTTTCCAACAGAACTGGGCACTAATCGAAACATATTTGATTGACATTGAAATGTTGTCAGGGGCTTTTTGTAGTTATTGTATTTGTATTTATTTTAAGTTATTAACGTTTTTTTGTTTTTATAAATTTTTTTGTTTAATATTATTTAAGCTGTCTTTGTTTTTTCCATTTTGTATGGTTATTTATTTATCCATTTTTTTAATTTGTATTTTTTAAGCATTAATATTTTAAGGAAATGTTATGTGTATATTGTTCTGTTTATAAAAAGTTTAATAAAAACACATTTAAAAAAAGAAATGCAAAAAATATAAGCAATAAAATAAAATAAATTAATTAAATATAAAAGCTACTGGTCAAAAGATTGAAATAATTGTTTATATATATATATTTTTTTTTTATTTGAAAGAAGTGTCTTCTGCTTACCAAGGCTGCATTTATTTGATCAAAAATACAGTAAAAATTGTGAAATATTATTATGATTTAAAACAGCTGTTTTCTATGTGAATATCTGTTAAACTGTAATTTATTTCTGTGATGCGCAGCTGTATTTTCAGCATCATTACTCCAGTCTTCAGTGTCACATGATCTTCAGAAATCATTCTAATATGCTGATTTACTGCTCAAGAAACATTTCTGATTATTATCAATGTTGAAAACAGTTGTGCTGCACAATATTTTTGTGGAAACTGTGATGCATTTTATTTTTCAGGATTCACAGATGAATAGAAAGTTCAAAAGAACAGCATTTATTTGACATAGAAATCTTTTATAACATTATAAATGTCTTTACGGTCACTTTTGATCAATTTGATGCACCCTTGAATACATTAATTAATTAAAAAATGTTTATTTAATATATTTCAACTTTGATAATAATCAGAAATGTTTCTTGAGTACCATGATGTTACCATGAATCTTTGAACATAATACCATGCCGTACCACAGCATGAAAGCAGCATCCAGGTGTTTACCTGAGAAGGCGTTGCTATAGTAACGCGAGAGCGTCTGCATGATGTCTTTGGAGTGCTGTGTCCAGGGCGCGATCTTACGGTACGTCTTCACCCGATGCACCAGCTGAGATCCTCCGTACTGTAAAGACAGCGTGTCGCCGTGATCCTCATACAGCTCCTCAAACAACCTGCTCACACCATAAACAACATCAGCACGATGGAGAAGAGCGTCTGCCTGCTGTAATGTGTGTTTGCGCAGGTACCTGATGCAGTCCGTGTCGAACTGAAGCTTGGGTTTGTCGATCATCCCGAGAGCGTAGAGCTGATACGCCAGAGCACATTTACCCACCATGAACTGAGCGGTGTTGGTTCGATCCAGACAGTCCACACAGTTCGTCCTCAAAACCCCCGTCTGTCAAAACAACACACGAAAAATGATTTCTGACCTGTAATAATATGTCACAATTTTTACTTTATGTTTGATCAAATAAATGAGCCTTGGTGAGCAGAAGAGAACGTTTAAAAAATCTTACTGACCTCAAAAGTGCACACTTTGCATGAAACATATACATTATTTAAGTTCAAATGTATTTACAAAGCACTTTAAAAAACACAAAGTGCAATTACAAGAACCTAAAAATATACATTAAAAAAAGCACAAATAAATTGATGGACAACAGATTTAAAAAAGAGAGAAATAAAAACGGAATTAAAAATACATAAAACAAAATAAAAAGCAGAAGTAAATCTGTTCAACACCTAGTGATCAAAATGTATTTTTAAAACTTTTTTTATATTTACAAATAAACAAAGGTAAATATATTCCTAATGGGTCATTTATGTGGAAATATGAGAAAAAAATCATTAAATAAAAATGTATCTAAATGTCTAAAAACATACACAAACAAAGGTATTTGTGTGTGTGTGTGTGTGTGTGTGTGTGTGTGTGTGTGTATATATATATATAATAGTTTATATTCATATTTTGAATATATTTTTATTCTCCGTTTTAATTTTAATTAAAAATATTTAGAAGTTCTGTTTTGTGTTTTTTATATCTAGTGGTTTTGTTTTTTATGTCTATATAGTTTTTATATATAGTTTTAGTCATTTTAGTTTATATTTTATATCAGTTAACATGCATTTGATTTTTAAGATCAAAATGTTTTAGTTTAGTTTTAGTTCTAAAAGTGTATATATATATATATATATATATATATAAGATATAGACAGATATAGATATTATATATATATTGATCTGTGTGTGTGTGTGTGTGTACAACAATTAATTAAAATGCATAAAACATATGTGAATCTGTTCAACACCTACTGATTAAAAAGGCTTCTCTAAGAAAACATGTCTTAAGACGAGTTTTAAACACATTTAAATTTTTTTTTTTTTTGTATTTTATAAATAACTAAAAATGTATGCAAACAACAGGATATGCCTTCTTAATGGTTAATTCATCTGTAGCCATTGGAAATTTAAAAAAAAAAAATCATTACAGTGATAAAGAATAATTTACTGAATTTTACAAAGCATTGACAGATCTTTGACAGAATGCATCTACATTTAAACAACAACGTAAAATCAGGCGGCGTGTGACTACTGGTTTAATGTGTCGGTCAGATAAACGCTTTGTTTCTGATTGGACACTTCTTGACCAGATTGAGCAGCAACATGCAGCAGATTTTGAGGAAGACAAACCTGTAGCCTGCCATTCGGTGTGACCTTCCCTCCGAGATCTCCCCACCTGAAAAACAGAGAGTTGTTTAAAGCAAACGAGGCTCTGACAGCCGATCTCCATCATCAGACCCGCTGCTCGCCTCAAACTTTCACCTCGTGTGTTTGAAAACAAATAAGTGCTTCAACACGTGGACCATTAGCGCTTTACAACAACAAGAGCTGGGAAACAACAAAAGTGCTGCATTTACCTCAGCCGTGACTCAGACGGGAGGCTTTCTGGGCTCTTATGAGAAGGACAGAAATAGTGTTTGAAGCACTGTACACATATGCAGCTCATCAGGAAGAAAATTTGTTCGGTAATTAGTTGGAGTCTTAGTATTAGTATTAGGAGTATTAGTTGATCCATTTTCAGCATTCACTCAGCATTGTTAGCATCAAGGCCTTGCAGAAACAGATTCATGTGAAATAAAAATCACTGCTGGAAGTTTGCCGATCTTCAGGAGCTTCTACATCACTGCCTGATTAGCTCCGCCCACCGATTCTACATCACTGGCTGATTAGCCCCGCCCACCGATTCTACATCACTGCATGATTAGCTCCACCCACCGATTCTACATCACTGCCTGTTTAGCCCCCATCCACCGATTCTACATCACTGCCTGTTTAGCCCCACCCACCAATTCTACATCACTGCCTGATTAGCTCCGCCTACTGATTCTACAGCACTAGATGTGTTTGACTTGAAGCAGCGCTACGCAGACCGATCGGTGTATGACATCAAAGTACCGTGAGAGCGATTAGACAGCAGACGTCTCCTTATTCCACCGATTCTACATCACTGGCTGATTAGCCCCGCCCACCGATTCTACATCACTGCCCGTTTAGCCCCGCCCACCGATTCTACATCACTGCCTGTTTAGCCCCACCCACCGATTCTACATCACTGCCTGTTTAGCCCCACCCACCGATTCTACATCACTGCCTGTTTAGCCCCACCCACCGATTCTACAGCGCTGCCTGATTAGCTCCGCCCACCAATTCTACAGCACTGCCTGATTAGCCCCGCCCACCGATTCTACATCACTGCCTGTTTAGCCCCACCCACCGATTCTACAGCGCTGCCTGATTAGCTCCGCCCGCCGATTCTACAGCACTGCCTGATTAGCTCTGCCCACCGATTCTACAGCATTGCCTGATTAGCGCCGCCCACCGATTCTACAGCACTGCCTGATTAGCTCTGCCCACCGATTCTACAGCATTGCCTGATTAGCGCCGCCCACCGATTCTACAGCACTGCCTGATTAGCTCTGCCCACCGATTCTACAGCATTGCCTGATTAGCGCCGCCCACCGATTCTACAGCACTGCCTGATTAGCTCTGCCCACCGATTCTACAGCATTGCCTGATTAGCGCCGCCCACCGATTCTACAGCACTGCCTGATTAGCTCTGCCCACCGATTCTACAGCATTGCCTGATTAGCGCCGCCCACCGATTCTACAGCACTGCCTGATTAGCTCTGCCCACCGATTCTACAGCATTGCCTGATTAGCGCCGCCCACCGATTCTACAGCACTGCCTGATTAGCTCTGCCACCGATTCCACAGCATTGCCTGTTTAGCCCCACCCACCGATTCTACAGCGCTGCCTGATTAGCTCCGCCCACCAATTCTACAGCACTGAATGATTAGCCCCTCTCACCGATTCTACAGCACTGCCTGTTTTAGCTCCGCCCACCAATTCTACAGCATTGCCTGATTAGCCCCGCCCACCGATTCTACAGCACTGCCTGATTAGCCCCGCCCACCGATTCTACAGCACTGCCTGTTTTAGCTCCGCCCACCGATTCTACATCACTGCCTGTTGCATCACTAGAGGAAGCGTTATTATGGATTATGGACCCTTCAAAATTGTCTTGTTTGATTTGTTTGACGTTAATAAATAGACTGCAGTGGTGTGGAGTACTTGTGGATTATTGTGATATTTTTATCAGCTGTTTGGATTCTGACGGCACCCATTCACTTGCAGAGGATCCATTGCTGAGACAGTGATGCAATGCTACATTTCTCAAAATCTGATAAAGAAACAAACTCATCCGCATCTCGGATGGCCTGAGGGTGAGAATTTTTTCAGGAAATGTTCATTTTTGGGTGAACTGTTCTTTTAATATAGTGTTCTGATAAACCCCTGTGGCTAACATTTGCAGAATATTCTTCAAAAGATTTGCATTTAAAAACAGATGCTTGACAGAACAGCCATTTCTATCACATAAATGTGAATTTAAATGAGACACATTTGTTATTAAACACATAAACAACATTATTTACACAATCTTAGATTCATTAATTTATTCCTTCCACCTTTTGTGTGTCACACCGCTGCTGAAACAGACTCTGCTTTTGTGGAATCAAGTTATTCTCATCTTAAACAAATGGATGTTTTGTTGTAAAGGTCATTTAAGCGTGTGCATTTACCTTTCATCAGGACGTAACGTGTGGCAATAAAAGTCAGGTCGATTAACGAAGAATCCCGTCCTCTTGACCACATTCTCAGCGATCATACTGAGACGATCCAACACGTTACACAGTTTACTGCAGATGAGAAGTTACAATTCTACTGTCAATTACAATGTTACAAAAGATTTCTATTTCAAATAAATGCTGTTCTTTTGAACTTTCTATTCATCTGTGAATCCTGAAAAATAAAACACTGAAGACTGGAGTGCTGAAAATTTATTTGAAATAGTACAAATATTTCACAATTTTTACTGTATTTTCGATCAGAAAATGAGCAGAAGAGACTTATTAAAAGATCTTACTGACTCCAACTTTTGAACAGTAGTGTATATTATATCAGTTCCTGAAAAACAGTCACTTTACGACAGTCGTACGCACCTCTTCGTGTATCGCGCCATATCCCAGGCGATGTACTCGATGCCGTGCTCCGGTGGGAGGAACTGGTTCAGGTTGGTGATGGCGGGATAAAACTCCTCACTCAGGATCTTCTCATGCTTTCTCTTCTCTCGTTTCTGACAAAATCAAAAATCACCAAATCGACAATTATCACACTGATCACATACTGATTCCAACAATTTAACCAACTTATAACAAAATATGCTCTCCAGCCCCGCAGCAGCAAGACAAACGTGCGGCTTAATGTTTAGCAAATTTGTGCCAAACAAAATCGCAATTTGCAAAAACTCTGTAAAAAAAAAAAAACACCATAAAGGTTTATTTCTGAGACAGTGATGCAATGCTACATTTCTCAAAATCTGATAAAGAAACAAACTCATCCGCATCTCGGATGGCCTGAGGGTGAGAATTTTTTCAGGAAATGTTCATTTTTGGGTGAACTGTTCTTTTAATATAGTGTTCTGATAAACCCCTGTGGCTAACATTTGCAGAATATTCTTCAAAAGATTTGCATTTAAAAACAGATGCTTGACAGAACAGCCATTTCTATCACATAAATGTGAATTTAAATGAGACACATTTGTTATTAAACACATAAACAACATTATTTACACAATCTTAGATTCATTAATTTATTCCTTCCACCTTTTGTGTGTCACACCGCTGCTGAAACAGACTCTGCTTTTGTGGAATCAAGTTATTCTCATCTTAAACAAATGGATGTTTTGTTGTAAAGGTCATTTAAGCGTGTGCATTTACCTTTCATCAGGACGTAACGTGTGGCAATAAAAGTCAGGTCGATTAACGAAGAATCCCGTCCTCTTGACCACATTCTCAGCGATCATACTGAGACGATCCAACACGTTACACAGTTTACTGCAGATGAGAAGTTACAATTCTACTGTCAATTACAATGTTACAAAAGATTTCTATTTCAAATAAATGCTGTTCTTTTGAACTTTCTATTCATCTGTGAATCCTGAAAAATAAAACACTGAAGACTGGAGTGCTGAAAATTTATTTGAAATAGTACAAATATTTCACAATTTTTACTGTATTTTCGATCAGAAAATGAGCAGAAGAGACTTATTAAAAGATCTTACTGACTCCAACTTTTGAACAGTAGTGTATATTATATCAGTTCCTGAAAAACAGTCACTTTACGACAGTCGTACGCACCTCTTCGTGTATCGCGCCATATCCCAGGCGATGTACTCGATGCCGTGCTCCGGTGGGAGGAACTGGTTCAGGTTGGTGATGGCGGGATAAAACTCCTCACTCAGGATCTTCTCATGCTTTCTCTTCTCTCGTTTCTGACAAAATCAAAAATCACCAAATCGACAATTATCACACTGATCACATACTGATTCCAACAATTTAACCAACTTATAACAAAATATGCTCTCCAGCCCCGCAGCAGCAAGACAAACGTGCGGCTTAATGTTTAGCAAATTTGTGCCAAACAAAATCGCAATTTGCAAAAACTCTGTAAAAAAAAAAAAACACCATAAAGGTTTATTTTTCTAAGCTGTAAATAAAACAAAGATTATTAGAGTACGTTTCACAAGAAAATACTATTTCAGTCTTACGACTTCGAAATGTCAAGTTTAATTCAATTTGCCGATTCTTTGTAGTTACTTATTAAATTTACTAGCAATTTCTGAGTGAAAATTGTTTCAAAGTAAACCTTACATCAATTTTTTTAGTGTGTTGGAAAATAACGCGTCCTAGAAAAACTATGTAGGTCAACTTTAGCAAACTAAAGCAATAAGCCCCAAGAAGCCGTGGTTTACAGTGAATTTATAACAGCTGGGGGGGGGGGGGGGGG